GAGAGAGAGAGAGAGAGAGAGAGAGAGAGAGAGAGAGAGAGGAAACAGAGAAACAAGAAGAATGCAGAGGACGACATTAATGTGTAAGTACACGGGAAGGTAAGCGTCCTCAACCCCGCAGCACTGCCATTCTCCCTACTCGTTTTGCAATTCATCGCCGATTTCTCATGCTCCGCTTTGTCTGTTTCAGAGTCTCCTCATGCTACTCGTGCTCACTTCAGGTTAGGACTTCTAGTTGGATGTGCAAAGTCCAAGTCTCAAGTACGTCTGAGTCTATGCTGCTTTCTGTCTTTGTCATATCTTCTGTGTTTTCCAGAGTTTCCTCCATTCATTGATATATGAACAATGCGCCCGTTAAGCAGTTATACTAATCTTGGCATGTCCATGGGCCGATCCTAGTTTCGGAGGCTTTAGTGAATGGAAGGATAGAAAAGTGCACTCTCTGTCCATGGGCCGATCCTGTTTCGGAGGCTTTAGTGAACGGAAGGATAGAAAAGTGCACTCTGTAGCCAGGTGAAGTCGACAGGGATAAGAGGCCCAGGAGATGGGTACCGACTCTACCGAGCTGTGCCTGGCCTTGATTAGAATCAGGTGCATCCAGTTACAAGGATGGATTGCAGGCTGGCCATCACCATGTTGACACCAAAAGACAGCTAGCCAGGCCTACCGGTCGGGCCCCCTAGTCCCTGGGTATCACCTACGCGGAGGAGGCTCTCACCTAGAAGGAGGAGGCTCTCACCTACAACTCCGTCTATCACCAACTTGTCTAACATGGAACTTGCCTGCAACTTTTGCAGCTGTTCACCACACCATTGCAGTCATTATGTTGCTTAGCTTTCCGGTTAAAAAAAAAAAAAAAAAAAAAAAAAAAAAAAAAAAAAAAAAAAAAAAAAAAAAAAAAAAAAAAAAAAAACAGGGGAGCATCACTCCGGTTCCTATTCCACCGGCAAGTCAAAGATGCATAATACAACGCACTCAACCTCTCGTCCCCTTTATGATGCTGCTCAGCTAATTATAGAACTCCCAAAACTTTTGGGATTGGAGGACAACTGACGGCATCGGGCACTGAGGAACTTTTCTAACATAGAACTTGGCCACTACGGAATACCAGTCCTCCTCCGTGCACGTCAGGGGAGCTTCACTACAGGCAGGCATCAAATCAAGTACATATTACTACTCCACGAAATCTTTTGAGGAGACGATAATGCAGACAAGGCTTTGAAAATTAAAACGCTACTCGCCTGGTTGACCTGTAAGAGACGTCCGCAACATCTCTGCTTGACATGCAGGTTCTCCTCACCTGGACGGCCAAAATATGCACGGCACTCATTCTGTGGAGTGCTGCAATGGTTTGGTTCTGTGGAATCCAATGTTGAGTGGCAACAGACTGGGCGGAGGCTGTGGTGATTTTGTCTGCTGTAGTTGCTGGGTTCGAGACCTCTGCATGACCCGAACTTCTTTGAATCTTTGACTACACATTGCACAGGAGACGTTGACATGTTCAGAAGGACAGGCGGCCGCTAGGATTCGATCATTGGGTTCAATACCCTGGAGCCCCTAAGACCCGTCTTCCCTTCAATCATTACACTGAGTCCGGAATGAGTGGGACTTCATTCGGGGGAGTGGGGGTGCGCTTGTATTTTTTTTGCGACAAAATCTCGGAAGTTCTTATTGCACACACGTCTCCAGCTACCATTCGACATGGCTGGCCTGGGCTGCGCAACCTCCCACTCACCACAAGGAAGTGGTTAGCACAAATGTGGGCTGGGCTCCTGCTTACTAACAGCCACGATTTCAAACCGATGCGCTTTCAAACAGATGCTTTCATTCACTACCACTCGCACTCATGGCCATGGATATTTGCCTGGCATGGGTCTGCACAACGAGGAGGGAGAGCATGCATGAAGTCCCCAACACTGTGATAGAGTTCCAACAACAAACCCCCCCCCTTCTCTCTCTCTCTCTCTCTCTCTCTCTCTCTCTCTCTCTCTCTCTCTCTCTCTCTCTCTCCAGGGATTAAAATATCCTTCATTAACCGCTGTTAACCTGGGTCTTGCACTTGGTTTCACTTCACTTCGCTTCTTCAGTCAACTCCAACGTCAGCTGCTTGACCACTTCTCTACTTTAGTGCAGCTCCCACAACTTGCCAATTCCTCCCCCTCCCCTCCCCCCCAACCAAAAAAAAAAGCTATATTCTTCTCTCCAGTATACCTCAGACTAGCTACCTTCGTGTCTACAAAACAGACGACAGACCTTCGTGTCTAGAAACAGGGGCTGTCCTATCACCAAATTCAACGAAGTACTAACATTAAGTCTAACCACTAGCGAGGGATGGAAGGGACGAGGGCAAAGCCCCTTCCAAGACCAACCAGGGGGGCGGCGCAAGCCGACTATCTCAGCTGGTGAACGCAAAGCACGCGTTAAGCGACCGTGAGGAATTGTACCCACAACCTCCTGAAAGCCACTTGCCTGCACTACCAACTGAGCTACACCGCTAGCCCCCCCCGCCCCCCCCAAATTCCTCATCTTCTACTAATATTCCTTGTCACAGTTTCAGGCTGAACTCTGGGTTCCACAACTTAAGTCTGTTGGATGTCAACAGTGCTCTCTTTAGACGTGCAGTGTTCGCTATAACAAGGTGTACTATTGCTACACGACCAAATGCCAGAATCAGAGAGTGTGCCCTTCCCAAATGGACCAATGCACACCATTTTTATTATTTTTAAATTTTAACATAAGATTTAGAATTTAGAAAACGGGAAAAAGGACAGCAAGCAAAGAGAAAATAAAGACGTAAAAACTTGGGGCCTCGCCGCACGGTGAACGAAACGGAAAAAAAAAGGGAATCGTTTCATTAATGCTTCACCGCATAACACACGCGCGTTCTGACACGCGATGAAAATCGTGACTTGTCAGAAAGCCGCTTTCCTTCGATCTCGTGAGGGGTTTGATGGCCTCAGCCTGCACCGTGCACGAATCCACGGGTCCTCTCCAGCAACCTCCGAGGACACACGGTTTTTCCACGAACCGGTCACGCCTGTCCAAAAATCAAACTGAGCACTGTTGTCCAGTAGCGGAGAAGGGCCTCGCGTGTTCAGACGAGCAGCACACGAGTCTAGGCGCCCTTGGAAGCAGTGCCATGGAACAATTGCGAGACCTCTGAATGTGCAAAATGAGACTGAATCCACTGCGAGAACATGGAAAGATACATTGACACCTTTTTGTCTTTTGCGCATGTGGAGAGTAGTGCAGCGAGGCCCATGGGCTGGGTCGCGAAAAAGGCAGTCACCGCCACACAGCACTAACGAATCCTGCACGACATTCGCCAGGACTTTGCACCACTCGTTTCGTCGGGGAGCTGTGTGGCGGTGGCAACGAAAACGAAACGAAACGGCGGATCGGAGGCTCGCCACTTTTTTTCGTTTCGTTTCGCTTTTAAGACCGTCCGGCGAGGCCCTTGGAAAAAGAAAGACAGAAACAAAAGACAAAAAGAGTGAAAAACAGTAACGAAATATATAAGAATAGAGATATATTCTCAGAGACAAGTAAAGCATCGGAGATGGGTGAAAAAAAAAGACGAGATGATATCTAAGAGGCAGATATGAGAAAGGCTCTTCTTCATCCACAGCGATCAGAACTGACCTTGATCAATCGCGTATCTTTCGCAAGGCTGGGACAACTATCCATGTGTTTCTTCAAATCCAAGTCCAAATACTCGAAGACCAGATACAGACGTTTGTCACTGTGCACCACATCCTGCAAACTGAAACACAGCAATGAAAGCAGACGCAAGAGTTGAGATCAGATTTTCAACAGCACAATGCAAAGGTAGATAGACCACGACCAGACGAGGGTCGTAAGAGGAATGAAACTGACCCCCCTGAATTGGCCTCTTCAACCAATTCATCTCCCATTGAGATATCTACCTTCAAGTACCTTCTCTCTCTCTGTGCTTCATACTAAATCCGTCGCTTGCCTCGTGTGTTCTCTACATTATTGCAAGACATAAGTCCCTACGCGAGGTGGTCACTGCCCTCCTCCCACCTACCACTTCCAGCCACACTGATCTGGGTAGAAAAGAACACAGCCATCATACGTGTTGCTGTCTCCAGGAACTTTCTACTCTATACAGTTTCCCTCTAGCCCACAAACGGGTAATGGGGACACCCCCCCACCACACACTTTCCGCTCCTTGGTTAACGGGTTCGAAATTAAAATTAGGGTGTGAGGGTCAAATTTTATGCCTTCTTCATTTTTTATTTTTTGCTAGGCTACCAGTTGTCCGATGGCAGGACGTCCTGGGTGGACACAGTCAGGGGGGTCCCGAACGTCCGGGCCCAGACAATTCCATTTTCAGCAGTTTAAAGCATGAAAAAAAGAAAAAAAATTGTGGGCGTCTTTCATTCAATTTTTTATTTTAATTTTGATAAAAAAATTGAAATAACGTAGTTGTTCAGTTAACGTAGTTTTTTTAGGAAGTTTTTTTTTTTTTTTCTGGTGTTCGTGCTCGGACTGACTGCCCCGGGAGGACATCCGACCGGACAACCCCGGACGGTCCGGGGGGGTCCCGAACGTCCAGCCTGGTAACATAGATTTTTTGCCTGTTTTTGTTTTGGTTCAAGGTTTGCTGTGTGCCAATTTTGGTTTCATTTGCGACAAAAAGTCCAAAAATTTAGGCCTCCGTTAATCATCTCTCCTCTAGCCACAAACACGCATAGGTTTCCCCTCAGGTTGCAAATTCCGACGCTGCCTTGCAAAGATTGTTTCTCGACACATGTCGGTGTGCTATTCCAACTCTTCCCCCCTATCTCCGTTCATAAATTTGTCTTGTTTTTTTTTTTTTTAATTTTTGCTG